GCCATACTATATCCATTCCCTGTTTTATAAAAAAAAAAACATGCTGGTATTACTTCAAGTAAATTATTATTTCTATTATTATTCATTTTCAGGAATAAGTGCATGTTTCAACAAAATAGAGTAGTGGTAGCAAAAATAGAGAACAAGAAAGACATTTTAAATCAGGGAACAATTACCAGTTCTTATTTTCCACTAGTTACAATCCTTCACCCACTAAGGAATATCCCATATGCAAGGAGAGTCATACCTTAACTCCATTACTGTTTACGTTTGTTGCACGTTTTGCAAAATGTAACTGAACTCTCATTTGAATTGACCTTACCAGTAGTAGGTGAATACATCATTTGATTCAAAGCTCATTCATGACTAAGATTTATTCTTTGCAGTTAGGCATAAGATTCCCACTGATTACTGAATAGTTTGACTACTTGCAGAAATGTGAAAGGAACTAAGTATTCCATCCTGAATAACTCATATTAGGAACAATATCAAGGCCTTGAGAATAACATACTTTATCACTTTGCTCAGAAAGTAATGCAGGAAAATCTCACAATTATGAATCAGGAAAATAGTGAGGCAGGGCCAGAGTTGATTATTTTAAATGCCAAATAGTAGAGATTTGCACCCCAATATAATCTTCTTAATATTTCCTTCCTTTGTGCTTTCATTTCAAAAGGCTATATATCAGCTTTCATTGTAAGCACAAAAGTTCAGTTCTGATTATCCTAACCCAGTTTAAATCAGGAATATCAACTGCTAGAAAAGAAATTTAATGGATTTATTTCCCTAAGCTCCTATCAAGCTGCTGTGTTAATCACCTCCATTTCTTTTATGTCGCTGACAATGATGTCTTAATTTAAGTCTTTAACTGATATTTAATAAACTTGTTATTTTACTAATATGACTAATATGACTTTCTTTTAAAACCAACTTTGTAGGGACTTGGAGTGAGTGTGATCTTCTTACTCATAATGGTCTTTCTTCTTTTTGTTTACTCTACGATGCTGGAAGAGAAGACAATGAGCTTGGAAAAGGAGCCATGTATTTTTTTTTTGTGGCTCAGTTTCCCCATTTGTAAAATCACAATAATAACAGGTCCAAATACATTGGGTTTTTGTAAGAATTAAATGGGGAATCATATGTGTGCATTAAATATTTATAGAAAATTTAACATATATATTTATCTATTTTAATGTTTAAAGTAAATATTTTGAAAATATTGGCAGCCCCTTTCAAGGGAAAATAAAACATCCCCGCCCCAGTGACATCAGATTTTGCTGTGTGACTTGTAGCACCATTTGCATATATGATTACACATTCTTGACCTATTAAGTCAGTAGTAGCCATACGAATTGCTTTGGCCAATGGAGGGTAAAAATCTGGGTAGATATTGCATACATCACTTCTGAGTAACAACAAACAAGTAGATTTTGTTTTGTTCTATTTTGCTTTCCACAGTAAACATCACCCTTAGTCTAGAGATCGATAGTTCTAGATAGACTATTTCACTGGCCTGGGCTGTGGAGTGATGACTGAATGTAATATAGTCATCTTTGCCTTGTGAAGGCATTGAATATAGAATTTGGCAACGAAAATCTAGGTCTCCTAACAGATTCACTGTTTGGTACTCACAAATGGAGTGTGCTAGAGTAAACACCCCAAAAATATATAGCAGTGGCTACCAGGAGTGGAAGGTGGTCAACAAACTGTGATTGGGTGTTGTAAGGATGAGAAATCACATTAGGCAGTGATGAATCATAGCAAAACTGTTGTGTGCAATAGCCTGAAAGGCAAACAGTAAGCCAAAAGAACTCGTAGCTCTTGACATCAGATTTAGCCATGTGATGAGTGTGTGCCTCCCATGGGACGATTATATATCCCGACCACGATCAGCCTGGGAGCAGCCTTGTTCCTTGGTTTGGTGGGTGAAATGTGGGCAAAAGAGTCATGTGTCACTTCTGGGAGAAACATTAAGAGCCAATTTGCAGTTTATCATGCTTCTTTTTTCAGTCTTCAGAAGAAAAACACTGCTGCAGATAGAGGCTACTCCATCATTCCGAAGGGGAGTGAAAATAATGAACAGAGTTGGAGCTGATCCATGATGGACACACAGCATAAGAAATAAACCTTTTCAAGTAGAAATCATTGACATTTTGAGTCTGAGTCTGTGCATAATATGATCTAGTGATCCTTAAAGATACATAGGTAAAGGACTTAAACAGTGTTGAACTCATTAAGTGCACATAAGTGTTAGCTAGTGTTATACGAGGATGAGATTGATAGTAATGAGACAAGGAGGTCTCAAAATTTCAGAGGGACAAAGATGGAGAAGCTATTGGAATCAACACATTTTAGCAATTTAAATGCTTGAACAAATTGATTCTATACCCAGTGGTGTGTTCATAAAAGTTTAACAACCAGTTCTGGACTGGGGGACAGATTTGTTGCTTTTTAATCAATTTTTGTGGCATGAATACATCCACCATGGCTGATTTCAAGCATTCAAACTAACAGGGTGACACAACTGAACATGGGGTTGGGGAGAGATGCACACAACTGGCTCTCGTGATGCCGGTGTGTGATCTGTCACCAGCTCTCCACTCTAACAGATGTCACTAGTGGTCAGAGTGATATAGAATTAAGCGTTAGAGAAAGATCTGACCAACTCTGGAAGAAAAAAAAAAAATCCTGCCTATACTAACCCTGATCAGCATTAAGAAGTTTGGAAAAAGGAGAGCTCTGGCTAACATTTTCCTCAATACAACAGCCAAGCAAAACAGCCTTAATACATTGAGGAGAATCATAGCCTCCCAAATAGCTTTTAGATAGAATGAAAGGAATATGCTTAAAAAGGGGAAGGGGAGAAACAAGGATTGTTGTCTAAAAAGAAAATACTTTGATCTCAGTCAACACAGATCATTTTGAAGCCAGTCTGCTGTTATCTTCGAAAATATATTTCTCCACAAATCCAGCCTCTTAAAATTGAGCAGTGACTCAGCAGAGGGGAGTGCCAATTGTGAAAAAGATGAGGACGCAGCCAGCAGTACCTCTAATGCATTCTGTCATTAGAAGTCTTTGGAAGAGTAATTTGGCGGAAGCTTTTCAACTTGCAGGTCACTGGTTTCAATTCCATCTCAGTTGATCATGAGCAAAAGCGAATGGTTGGTGGCCTATGAAAAATGCCTTGATGGTGTCACCCTAGTTCTTCCTAATAGACACTGCCAGTGCGATAGGCACCCTTTCTCTTGATTCTACCAGAAGCAGAAAGGCTGAATGGAAATGTCATTTCAAGTATTTTCTCAGCTTTTGTGCTAGAGAAATTTGAGATATGAAAAAGGCCAGCTCCTTTTCATCTTCAGCTCACAAGTAGAATTACTCTTCTGTAATATGGTTCAGAGATCTTCCTGGGATTTATTGAAATGAAACCTGAGCCATCTTACAAGTAAAATTATGTCTTACCTCATAGGGAGTTAGATTATGTAAAGGCATATTCTTAAGGAATATTTGAATGTAAAACATGTACAATTTCTTGGCGAGAATCTTACAAATCTAGGATTTATTTTTCCTTTCTTCTTGTTTGAACAAATAAATCCCCATATAGAAAGAATTTTCATTATTCTGCTAAATGCACTTCTTCTTTCAATATTTAATTTTCCATATTTTATTACTGTAATGATTTAACTTACTGTTTTCCCACCACTAAAGAAACTGTGGGATTTTTTTTCTTTCTTTTATTCTGACCATTCAAATACCGCAGATTTCCTTGGGTACTTTCATATAATTTTGTTTCCCACACGTTTTAGTCATAAATGAATAAAAACAAACTCTCTCTAGTTACCTAGAGAAAAGCAACAAAATAGATTCTAAAGCAGAGACACAGATGTACTCAGTAATGCCACACAACATTTTGGCAGCCACAGGTCATACGTGGGATAAAATGGAATGAGCATTGCTTTGGAAATGATGAGAATTTAATCAACTGATCTTAGGCCTCATTTACTTTCTATGGGATTCACTTTCCACATCTGGATCATGAGGTTGATGTGTTTCATTATTTTTACATCTCTTTCAATACAAGCATTCTATGGACTCTTCACTTTTACCTCATCAGGATTGGAGTGAGAGGGTGTCAGTATACCAATGGGATTTGAGCAATGGGAGCTTTGCTTTGTGTCACCTCATTTAAGGGTAAAGACAGATATTGGGATTTTCCTAAATAATCACATTAAAATCTCTCCTAACCTTCAGGGCCAGCGTCTGAATTCTCATGTCAGCAACTCCTGCCACCCCCATGTAAAACCAGGAGGAGATAAATTCTATGCCCTCTAAACATCTGTAAGTAAAACAATATGTCATGCTTTGGTCTTTATGATTTTTAGAGCAAGTGGCATCACCCTGCAAGTGACTCAGATGCCCCTGAATCTGGAGCTGCAAATGGAAATCCCAACTTAACCTATCCCTTCATCTAAATGACTAAACTGAGGTACAGTAATTTCAAGAATTGCCCGTAGCCACAGAATTAAGTTGCCTGTCTCTGAATTAGAATGCCTACCATTAGCCAGTGAATCTATTTTCCCAATACAACACTGCAGCAAAAATAAATTCTGCTGGGGTAAAGGAATCCAAGACAAAATAATAGTCAGCTGCAGACTCTTTGGATGCAAGTACAAAATATTCAAGTGCATGCTTTCAATCCCTTCATTCTCTCGTAATGATTGCAGCTAATCCCTGCCCGCTAACATTAGTTCTTCAATTGTGGCAATCAATAGAATGGATTAGCTGTGAAAACCCTCCATTCATATTACCCCTGCTTTCCTTTCCAGATGGAATTTTCATTCACTGGAGTATAAGCAGATACGTGTTTCCTCTCCACTCCTGCATTCACATATCTAACCCATTAGCTTTCAAGGCTGTCATTACAGACTGAATGTTTATATAGTATATATTATATAGTATATATATATATACATATATACTCATATACACACTAAGGAGCATACCTGTAGATTTAATAGAACTGCACCGATTCTCATGGCTTCACTGATTTCAAGGCTATACATCAGCTGTGGGAAGCGGGGAGGGCTTTGATTATTTGGAGGAAGCACTTCAATGTACACAGTGCAGATGGAGTGCCTGCAGAGAAAGAGGAGAACAAGATGGGTAAAAACATAGACCACATTTAATAATGGACTGTGTTCTGTATTCTCTTGCTGGTTTTATAGGACAGGAACTTTTAAATTTTTATGGAAAATAATAAAATAATTCAGAATGAAAAGATGGAAAAACTAAAGCTACCCCCAGCACATATTTTTATGAAATTATCTTAATAAAGGAAAGGAAATGCCTCAAGTAGAGATTTTTCCCTACTAGATAAATAGTGTGAATTAAAAAGGAATAGCTGTACAAGTAAAGCTAATAAATTAACTTGCTTTGACTTCTGACTTTATTTTTTAATGTCTCTAATAGCAAGAAACATTTTGTAAATATCTGGTAATATGATTTGTCCTCAGGACTCTCTTCCTATTAAAACAACAGAGGGAGTATTGATTAAAATAACACACACATACACACACACACACACACACACACAAAAAAAAAAAAAACCAAAATATGGGCTGTGTTTTATTAGTTTTGTTGCTGACATCAGGGGCTTAATGTAAATAGATGTTGAGAGTCAGGATCGTAAAGCAATCATTGCGTAAAATAGTTGCAAACAAAACTAAATGTCTTTATATCTTCTTTAAAGAGTATATATAATATGCAAAGCTAGAAGTTAGATTTAATTAAAGCCTCATACAGACAGAATTTTTTTGAAGGATGAGAAGATATTCTATTATGATAAGGACAAAAACATTAGCATTGACATCAACTTCTTTGATATCTCTGAACTCTTTAATTTCTTTACACACAAAAGCTGAAAAAACAAGATGTTCAAGATTCATACAAAAGAAACACTGGCTAAAATGTATTAATGAGAAAGTTTGTCTTCTGTCTTGAAGAACACATCACTGCTTCCTGAGTTGTAGGCTTTGAACGTAAGAAAATCATGACTTTTTACTCAAAACTCATTTGATATCATTTCTACTAGGGAGCTTAGGATTTTCTTAAATTATCCCAAAGCTCTTTTGACTAAGCTTCAATTCAAAGACATGGTCACCAAAAATATGAAGTAGTTACTTTTTGAGAAGTTTTTTTTTTTGGTATAATTAATTTACAATTACATGAGCAACATTGTGGTTATTAGATTCCCCCCATTATCAAGTCTCCACCACATACCCCATTACCCCATTACAGTTACTGACTTTTTGACAAGTTGTTAAGAAAAATATATATCAGAGTAACTCAGATGCCTATGAATCTGGAGCTGCAAATGGAAATCTTGGCAAAACCTATTCCTTCGTCTAAATGACAAAACTGAGGCACAGCAATTACACATTAAAATTGTTTCTTGGTTTAATATGCCTAAATCTAATTGTTTCTGAAGATGTCCTCTATAGACTAGATATCTATAGAATATTAAGCACCTCTAAAAAGTTGCCATGATTTTAAAAAATTCCAGACTTAACATTTGTCACAGTGTTGTTCCAAAGTAATCTTTTTTAATTAAAATCTCTGACTTTCGTAGTCAGTTAAAACATCTGTATTTATTCTTGCCTCTGATTTCATCTTATTAAAATTTCCCAGTCAGTTGAATCAAATTGTAATTGCTTCTCTTTTCTTTTCAAATATATATGTTTTTCACAGCTGAACCTTTAAGGGTAAGATGTTTAAAGTAGCTTAAAATGCATGAGGAAATGTTATAGATTTGGGTTTTAATAGTATCATGGCTGGATGTACAAGAAAAACATGGTGGAAAGGAAAACAGTGGGAAGTTACAATACTTATTGTGCATGGCAAAGATCCTCAATTCTCATTTTGTGGGGACAAAGGAATTGTCATTCTGAAGTAGACATATTATCCTCCCAGGTGGTGATCTGGCTACAAAAGCAGTTCCCAGATATATACCCACACTGATGATATTATCCTTTATGATCCTGGCTTCTTTTAGTGTCTGTGAGTCAAGTCATTTAAATGTGACTTTTTTTATAAACCTGTTCTTTATTTTCTGCCAGAACACTTGCTATATGTAAGTCCTTTAACATTCACCCTCCACCATTTTGGTGATAACCCCAGATGAATGATGTTAAGCACAGGGTTTGTATAACCACACACTCCTGGGTTGGAATTCTGATGCTACTACCACTGTGTGGTCTTGGAAAATTATGTCTTTTGTCTTCCCCATTTTTGTCTGAAAATAATAACATCAAAGGTTAGCATATAGGTTAAATAAGATTACATAAATATGCAAGCACATGTATGCCTGTATATGTATTACAGATATGTACACATATAAAAGGCACTTATTATTATTAAAAATAAGGATTCTTATTCTCTTCCTTGGGCTGGGGTCAACAAGCTTTCATTTAATCTTATTCATTTTCCTTATCATATTTTAGATATTTTAATTGCATCCTTTTATTTTTCTAGGCTAAATACCTACAGGAATGGTACCATCCTTCCTCTCCCCAGAGTGGGGTGTGGACTAGGTTTTGGACATATTGGATCAGAATATTTTTGTGAAGAATTTAAATTTTCAAAAAAAAAAGAATTTAAATTCTCTATGGATATATGTTTTCCTTACACACGCTTGATTTTGAAGACACCTATGCCAGAAACTCTAGGCAAGTACAGTGTGTAGACTCACCTGTTTTTCAGTTAGCAGCCTGGTGGATTCCTCTACAAACTGACCTAAAGCTCTCCACCATAACCATGCAGGTAAGAGACTCTCTGATTGATTAATGTTATTTGACCCAGAATACACCTGTACTCCAAATTCAAAGCTTTCTTTCAAAAAGCTAGGCTTCTCCTGCTTTCGATATTCTCTAAACCTTTGGTTCACTAGTCTGGAATACTTTATATAATCTTTAGCAAAATATGAGTCTCTTTCTACTCAAGAAATTATAGCTTTCCCTAACTTACTATATTTTATGTATTTCCTTATTCTTCCCCCTTTGACTCCTTGTTTCCCACTAGAGAGCTAAACTGTTTACATCCACAATACTACAATAAGGACCTCTAACTTGGATGAAGCTGGTGTATTTGCCACAGAGAAAGTTTTTAAGTGCAAAGCAAAAATGACCGTAGACCCCAAGGCAGAAGCCAGAGAGCAGCTGTGGTCCAACGTGGCCGTGCCCTTCACCTGTCCTTACTCCTTTGCCTCCTCTGCTTCTATCCACAATAATTCAAATGCTGGAATTGCAAATTACATTATTTTTCCCCTTGGACTTATATCTTAGAGTTGTTTGAGGAAGATCATATTTCAAGGTTTTGCATTTTTCATGTCCCAAATCCTGAAACTCCCTACAATGTGTTTAAATAAGCACCAACCTTCTAAAGGGTTATTGCCTCTTAAAATACTCCCTCCTTTTTATCCCCAATATCAGCATGTGTCAGGATTACTTCCTAAAACTGAATACCAATAGTATTAACAATAAAATAATGTTCCGTTGATGCTGTAATACATGGTAGTAATTCAACATCAGTTAAGCACATAATAAAACACGCCAGTCACTAGACAAATAATAACCTTTTTGGTGAACATTTTGTATTTACGTCTTATAGATAGCTAGTCTTCAGTGCATAAAGTTGAGCACCTGTATGATACAAATTTTACTTTTGTAATAAAGCCAGTAGATGTAGATAAATCTCCATTTCTAAAAATGAAAATCATAGAGCTCATCTCTTTCTTATTCGGTAATGGTAAAGTAGAACACAGGAGCTGATGTGCTTTCTTAGATAATTTTGTGATTTTAAAAGACCCTGGAAAACATCTGATTAAATTCTCATGTTACAAGGGTTAGAAAATCAGAAAGGTTAAGTGACTGAATCAGGGTCATATAGTTAATTAGCAACAACAGAAAAATTAAAAGGCAAGGCCCCTGAATTCAAAATCTTCCTGTCCTTTCCCTCCACATCTTTTAAGAACAAATTTGGGAAGTAAATTGGGGAATTTTTACTTAAATGATGTGTGGGTGTTTGTATGTGGGCATAAAACATCAGTTTATAAAAAAGGATGTTATCTTATAGGAAATGATAAATTACTTCAAGTCTTGAGCTTAGGGTAGGATATCACAATTAATTTTAATCATTTATATCATGAATGAAACATCTTCCATATCATCTTTTTTGTAAGCCCAAAGTAAATTACAAACAAAGAGGTTGGGAAGATATATACTTAAGTGACTTTAGCTTAAAAAAATGCTATAATTTAAAAAAGATAAAAAGTCAATTATTTCTGATATACCAATAATAGTCAGTAATAATGAGATGATGTTAATAGAATTTAGAGGATTGTACACTCTGTATGGTAATTTTATACTAAATGTGTCAACAGATGCTATAAAGTATCTATTTCTAATTCTACATTTCTACCTTGTTTCTAAGATGAAAGTTACAAATGTTTATATTGCTTTTCCTAGTAGACTTAAAACAGAGAAATTACCTTCTATTTCCTTTGTCTTCCATCAACATTGTGCTAGAAAAGCTATATTTACAGTTCAATGTTCATAGGCTCTGTTTTACTGTTTTGGAGGTATATATAGGAATCTGTAAGCACAGATTTCTGATATAAAACCAACATAGGAGGTCAGAGAGGCTTCTCAGGGGAAGTTACAAGAACAGAATGTTAAGATGCAGAATGTACTTAGGCATAAAAACCATATGGTATTTCAGCCAGGGGAAACACACGTACAAATTCACAGAGTAATAAGTAAGAAAACCAAACTTTTAGTACCACTAAAGAGAAGGGTATAAATAGGGCAGTAGTAGGAGTTAAAACTATGGACATGGGCAAAGTCCAGATCATTCAGGAACACATGTTCTGTATTTGCTGATTTAAACTTCATCTTGACAACACTGGGGATTAATTTCTAGTTTTTAAGCAAGTTAGTGATATGCTCAAATGTATCAAGTAATACACAGTTCCCACTATGCACCATGTTTTGTCATGACCCTGTGTCTTTGCTTTGATTGTTGCCTGTACTTGGATAGCTCATTGTCACACCTGCCAAAGTTAGACTGCCTTTGTAATTATC